TTTTAACTTGCCAGGGGTGGGTGTAGCAATTCACAAGTTTAATTGTTCCCTTTGAGTGGTCACAGGACACCAGTAGCCTATAGTACACCTGCACACATTGCCATGTTTCAGGTATTGTTTCCAAAGGCTACCATTGTTCGTGCTTCTAGGTAGAATTTGATTTTAAATATTAAGATAAACATGAAATTTAGCATAATTTCTAAATGTGGTTTTTCTTCTTTTTAAAAATTTTTAACGTTTATTTCTAGAGACAGAGCACGAGTGGGGGAAGGTCAGAGAGAGAGAGGGACACATAGAATCGGAAGCAGGCTCCAGGTTCTGAGCTCTCAGCACAGAGCCAGACGTGCGGCTTAAACTGACAAACTGTGAGATGAAGTCAGATGCTTAATGGACTGAGCCACACAGGCGCCCCTAAATGTGGTTTTTAATTCTCACGGGATTAGGTTTTAAATTTTATCTTTCTGATGTAGAAATATGCAGATAAAACTACTGACACCAAAAATGGTATGATGAGGAAATTGAGATGCAATAAATATTTTTTATTATTCCACTTGTGACATGTTTCTGTGGGAATGGTTATTTACCTCTGGAAAGCAGTCAAAACAGAATGCCTTGGAATAGGCATGAAGTGGGCCCTGAATGAACCTTTTAGATCTAGAAAACAAAGCAAGGACTCCAAATTCACCTCTAATGTTGGGATTTTCTTGTCTGCTGGGATGGTAGAGTTTAATAATGACTTCTGTTTGTGGATTTCCAGAAATTAAAGCAGAATTCTCATCAGGTGGTGTTTTTCAGTGCACCCTGTTTGGGCTTGTGGCCTTGGGGGTCTTCTGGATTCTTGTGGAATGGCTTCGGGTACTAGATGGTGTCATTGTCTCCTCCTGGTCCAAGCCAGAGTTTCAAATCTCTAAGATGTATTTAATATTAGTGTCAGTCTAAGATGCAATTCTCTATGACTTAACTTGTTAAGGTATTTCAGTGGTGCCTTCATCTCAGAGCGGCATAAAAAGACCTCGGTGTTGGGCCCGTTTCCTGCTCTACCCTGCACTCTGGCTAAGCCATTCAGAGGTCCATGTAACACCTCGAAGAGAGGGTAGACCTTTTTAGGCTTTTCAGAAAATTCTTTTTTTTTTTAATGTTTATTTGTTTTTGAGACAGAGTATGCAAAGGGAGAAGAGGCAAAGAGAGAGGGAGCCACAGAATCTGAGGCAGGCTCCAGGCTCTGTGCTGTCAGCTCAGAGCCCAACACAGGGCTCGAACTCACGAATTGGGAGATCATGACCCAAGCCAGAGTCAGATGCCCAACCAGCTGAGCCACCCGGGTGCCCCTTTTCAGAAGGTTCTTAATGTTTGTAGCATGAGTGGCTCTTGGAACCACTGGATGTTCTGTGAGAAAGGCTGTGGGTCATTTAATTGAACTCCTGTGTTTTAAAGAAACCAAGGCCTATAGAGTGACGTTTTATATGTAAGGTTTCCCAGATCTCTGCATAAACTCTATAGTGGTGTTGGTCACACAGTTATCTAATAATAGCTTCTATTTATTGAATTTCCGCAGACATGCCAGAGATTGTATGGAGTACTTAAATCTACATTTCAACCAGTTCTTAGAACATTCGGTTTAGCAGATGGGAGAACGGAGGGTCAGGAAAGTTAAGTTTTATACAAGATCTCAAGCCAGTTTTATTTCTCCTACCCTGAGCCAACACTAGTTTTCCTTTACTTAATTGAAATAAAATAAATACAAGTCAGTTTATTTGATCAGGGGAGTATGACAAAAATATCTTCGTGTTATTCTTCACGAGGAATGTTTCGTATAGTAATATCCATACACAAAGTACTTTTCCTTCCAGACAGTCCTGTCTCATCCTTTCTGTCTGTCAGGCTTCAGGATTACCTGATGCTCAGGGAGGAAACCGCGACCTTCCAACTCCACTTTCCACCCCACACACACTTGTTGCTATGACTTCGGACAGCTCAGCGGCTCCCTCTACTGGTAGTTACTTGAGTACTTTTTATTGACCCTGTCCACGGAGTGTGGGGAAGTGAACGTAGACCACACGGGGTCGTTGCAGCGAAGAGATGATGACTTATGTATACACTACTGTAATACAAGGTGGGGGTCGGTGACTATTAGGGAAAGGGCACAGAGGAAATTCCTTTGGGGTTGAGAAGTCAGAGAGTTCAGTCACAACTGGGGAATTAGGAGAGGTGGCTTGGAAGGTTGGACATTTATCTGGATCTGAAAGGATGAGTGAAATTTGGCTTTACAGCAGTTCAAGGATAGGTACCTGAAGAGGATCAGCATCTCTGCTGGAGAGAATGGTGCTGGCAGAGGCGTGCTGGTGAGGAAGGCAGGGGAATGCAAGCATTTGGGGAGCAGTAAGTGTCCGTTTCAGTGTGTAAATTTTTTTTTTAAGTTTATTTGTCAGAGAGAGTGAGTGAGCAGAGGCGGGGCAGAGACAGGGAGAGAGAGAATCCCAAGCAGGTTCTATGCTGTCAGCACAAAGCCCAATGTGGGGCTTGATCTCACAAACCATGAAATCATGACCTGAGCTGGAATTGAGCAGCCGCGTTTAACCGACTGAGCCACCCATGCGCCGCGTATTTCAGTTTAATTGGAGGATAGGATCTGTGAAATGAAAGAGTTCCTTTGGGATCTGAATGGCATTTTCCAATGCCATTGCCTTAGTAACGATGAGGAAGATGGTTGACAGATGGAAGAAAGTTGAATAAGAAAGTCATTTACATTCCATGTGTTGGTCATGCTCCAGGGTAGAAAGTCACTGAGAAGTGACCAGAATGCAGACCCCAGATCCTTAGTACTGGTGATTCACAGAGGTTGCTCCTTGCCAGTTCACCCCTAGGGCTCACCCTACCAAGTGACCTTTTCCCATACCCTGGCGTGGTCTGCTTCACGAGGGGCCACAAGGACTCCTTTAGTCTGGTCCACAGGCCTCAGGCCACACTTGACTCAGGCTGAGGGGCCTCCTTGTCCCTTGTCCTGGCCCCAGTTGTGCAGAAGGGTAGACCAGTGAGAAAGAGGTGAAGGGGAACGTCTGCACCTTCATAGGCAGCAGGGTATCTGCGTCAGTCCAGTTGGGGACAAGCTGAGGCCCGCCTTACTGCCCTGGTCCCCTGGGAGAAGCTGCACTTCCCAGATACTAAAGCTTAGAGAAATCAGAAGAAAATTCCAAGCTAGGGCTTGTTTCCTAGAATCAGAACCGAAGCCTTTCCCATTCTGCACACTGAAAGCTCTACGTCCGTTGTGGCACCGAGGCCCGAGATGTGCCTGAACCCCGGCGCTGACATCCGGGAGAGACTGGGAATGAGCACCCTTTTTGCCTCTGCTTGCGGGAATAGTGGGAATGGAGGGGTGGGGGGGGGGGAGTGAGAGACCATGGGGTCGGATCAGTGAGGCAAAGGAGTGAGCCAGGGTTTGACTCACCGTCTTGCCGTCACTACCTGGATGCCTGCCAGCAGATGCATCAAACTCTGCATGTCCAGCTCCACTCCCAGCCTCCCCACGATAGCGTTGACCTTGTCACTCAGGCCAGGAGCCTTGAAGGCCCTCACGATTCTCCTGTGCCTTTCATGCCTCCTTTCCGGTCCTTCAGGAAACCCCAGATCGTTCTGGGGTGTCCCTGGAGGGGTGGGGGCAGGTGGCCGTACTGGGGGTGAGCCCATGCATGTGCAGGTCTTCCCTCCAACCTTGGCTTGTCCGTAGTCGCTGTTGCATCTAGGGACATCGAACTGGCCAGAGAATTAGTAAGCATGTTCTCTGGACTTTCGGGGGAAGGCCTAGTGTCAAATTCTACGCCGTGGTCAGGTGCTGCATTTCATTTTTGGTTTGGGAAATAAAGTCATCATACAGGGACAGGAAGCATAAAGTGTCATGTTAATTACCTTGAAATATTGGACAGATTTGTTTTGGGGGCAGGGGAGCAGGATTGAGGTCAACAGCAAAGTGCCTAGGGGTCTACGGCGATTGAGTGCCTGCCAGACCTTCTTCCCAGCTCTTGCCCTCACTGAGTTTGTTCTTCCGTCTCATTAAGTATCACAAATGTTCGTGGAGTGCCCACTATGTATGTGTCTACTGGGGAGGACATACACACTTGAGTCATAGAATGAATGACTCGAATTGAACACAGGGTTGGGGGTGGGGGAGGGACCCTAGGGATCGTCCTCTGTTTTTTCACTTTATGGATCGGGAGGCTGAGCCCAGCAAGGGTGGCTGCCTGCCCTTTCCGCCGAAACCCTGCACAGACACGTTCTTGTTGCGGAGTATTCTCCCTGCGTCTTCCCTTCCTTCTTCCCTTCCTTCTTCCCTTCCTGGCACTTCTTCCTTCCTGGTACTGTTGTAGGGCAGCTGGGGGGGTGGGGGGAGTAAGACAAAATCCAGCCTTCAGGAGCATTTGCTTTTGAGAGCCAGTGAGCAAGAAGCAGACTCTGCGGGACCAGCTGCAGGGCAGAGCGGGGGTCGGCTTGGGTTTAGGCAGGTGGGGAGAGGTCAGACCTCTCTGAGAAGGTGACACCTGAGGACGAAGTGGCGCTGATGTGAGCTGAGTGCTCACTTAAGGGGAGAGGAGACCCCGGCCAGTGGCTATGTCAGGGATAGTGCTCTGGGTTCCAGAAGCCTCGTGACCTTGATGGGTGTTGGGTCTACATGCTCCCGGTGTGCATTCATGGGGTGTTGGCTGAAGGAAGCAACCGAGGACCCCAGTCTGCTGTCCAGGTGCTTGTTATGGGGTTAAGTTGGTCTTTAGACACATTGGCAGGAAGCATCCTGTGTGACTTGAAACTCAAGGTGTGAGAGGTAGTGACCAGAGTCATGTTGTGGGTCCCCTTTGCGGTAGTCACCCCGAAAGCCACGCCATTGTTGTGGCTCTTGTGCTCTGCCTGCTGCTTTCACGGAGCCTCAGAGGAGGTTTCAGTGAAGCTGCGAGGTGGGTGCGGGGGGAATAGCAGAAAAGACCAGAGACCATGTCACCTTTCTCTTTCAGACGGCCCATCTGAGGACCCTGACCTCAAGGACGCCTGTCTCATTCCCAAAAGCATCATGGCTGAGCCAGACTACATGGAAGATGACAATCCGGAACTAATTCGGCCTCAGAAGCTAGTCAATCCTGTCAAAACGTCCCGCAACCATCAGGATCTTCACAGGGAACTTCTCATGAATCAGAAAAGGTACAGTGGTTTCTTTTTTTTTTTTTTAATGTTTTTTTTTTTTTTTAAATTATTTACTTATTTTTTATTTCTGAGAGAGAGAGAGAGAGACAGACAGCGTGAGCAAGGGAGGGCCAGAGAGACGGGGAGACACAGAATTCGAAACAGGCTCCAGGCTCCGAGCTAGCCGTCAGCACAGAGCCCGATGTGGGTCCAAAACCCACAAACCGTGAGATCACGACTTGAGCTGAAGTAAGACACCCAACCGACTGCGCCACCCCGGCGCCCCGAGTACGGTGATTTCTTGAGCAGTTTTCCTTTGGGGACTTTGGCTTCAGAGATGCTCTCTTTTCCTGATGGTATTTAAGGCTGCCATGTTCCTTCTGCTGCTGAGCCAGCCCCCCCCAATGAAGTCATGTCGTCTGCAGGTGTGAGTCCACATTCTGCAGAACTGTGTCCCCTTTGAAAATAGACACCTGCTTTAGAATTTGGTTGTGAGGAGATCAATTAAGGATAAAAGAGAGTATCCTAAGTTGAAGAGAAATATTATTTCCTAGATTTCTTAGATTTGTAAAAATTCTGAATTTGCCCCTTACGTTTGGGGAAGTGTAGGAATCAGATGTACGTAGTGTGTGCTTTAGCCTTTGTGAGTGGTAGAGAAGCCTCTAGAACCACCTCAATCTAATAATAGACAAGAAAAAGAAACCTTTTTTTTTCTTTTAAGAAACATTTAAAATTATTACTGTCTTCATCATCATCATTATTTTTTTGGAGGGGAGAAAACATTTACCTTTTATCTTCTCTGTAGACAATAGTCTGCTCCATTAGTACTGTAAAAACTTGGGATGTTGGTTGGTATGATCTGCTTTTTAAGTAATTCTGGGCAGGCCCAGTTGACTAGGAGAGCTGAGGATACACAATTACTTTTATTAATTAGAGCACAAAATTTCTTTCTTTCTTTAAGAGCATTAAGCTTCCTTTAGAGCTCTTCTCAGATCTTCAGAATGGAACTGTTGACGTTACCCGCGTGCACCAGTGTGCTCTTAGATTCATGCTGATTAAACTGCATGCAAGTTTGATCCCTTCTGAATAAGTGCTTAGCTTCTAACCATCTTTGTCACATAAAAGAAAAAATACCTAGAGTTGATACCATGCAAAGCAAAACAGAACTATGTACGTTCCTAAATAGACCACAGAGTGTGAAGGCAGTCTTACCCGGGAAATGATGCCTGCGTTCTGGTAGAAAGATCAGAAGTTTAATTTACTCCAGAAGAGTAGCAGTCACCACTAACTGGTTTTCTGATTGTACTTTTTGGACGTCAGTTTCCTTATCTGTAAAACGGGAGTAGGGGACTTGATTGATCTCTAATAAGAGACATTCTGGCCCAAACTCTTTTTGTTTTATTTGGTTTTGTTTTGTTCTTCTGTTGTATCTATGAAAAGGCTCCAAGTCAAAAGAGAGGCAAAGCTAAAACCCAAATTGGCAGAATTGTTCTCTGAATAATAGCCTACAAATTATTGCACAAAAATGTGGAATTAGTACCTGGGTTATATCTAAAACATATGTTTGTACAATCGAATCTGTTGCCAAATTTTCTAGAATAGGCATTTTCTGTGAAAATGGACCTTCCTACTGTCTGACTTTCTCTGGCCCATGATTTCTTTTCCTGGTGTTCACAGCTGACTCTTTGGCTGGGCCCAGTTCCAATAACTTGGGAGAATGCTGGTGTTCCCTCAAGTACCATGGTGTCGAGAGAGTGTTGCTTTGAGGTTAGAGGGAAATTATCTAAATCCTGGTTTGCCGTTTATTTATTTATTTTTTAATGTTTTATTTATTTCTGAGAGAGAGAGAGAGAGAGAGACAGCATGAGCAGGGGAGGGTCAGAAAGAGAGAGAGGCACAGAACCCAAAACAGGCTCCAGGCTCTGAGCTGGCTGTCAGCACAGAGCCCGATGCGGGGCTCAAACCCATGAACTGCGAGATCATGCCCTGAGCCAAAGTCAGACGCTTAACCCACTGAGCCAACTAGGTGCCCCTCTGGTTTGCCATTTAACTTGACCTACCTTTATGACCTTGGACAAGGTTCTCCTTCTTGAGATACGTTTCTTCATCTATAAAATGGGGGATAAAATATCCTTCTTATAAAAATTAAATAGAGGATGGGGCGCCTGGGGGCTCAGTTGATTGAGTGTCTAACTTTATCAGGTCATAATTTTAGCTCATGGTTTGTGAGTTCAGCTCTGTGCTGACACCCCTGGAGCCTGCTTTGGATCCTGTGTCTCCCTCTCTTTCTGCCCCTCCACCACTCATGCTCATGTTCTCTCTCTCTCAAAAATAAATAGAAACAACTTTTAATAAAAAAAAATTAAATAGGGCTGCCTGGGTGGCTCAGTTGGTTAAGCGTCCAACTCTTGATCTTAGCTCGGGCCTTGATCTTAGGATTGTGAATTGAAGCCCCGGATTGGGCTCTGCATTTGGCATGAAGCCTACTTTAAAAAAAATAAATAATAACATGTGTGAATACTGGCATATAGGGGCACCTGGGAGGCTCCGTCGGTTAAGTGCCTGACTATGGCTCAGGTCATGATCTCACGGTTCATGGGTTCGAGCCCCGCATTGGGCTCTGTTCTGAAGCCAGCTCAGAGCCTGTTTCAGATTCTGTGTCTCCCTCTCTCTCTGACCCTCCCCTGCTCACGCTGTCTTTCTCTCTTTCTCAGAAATAAAAAAAACATTAAAAAAAATAAAAAATGACTGGCGTATAATAAATGCTCAGTTCGGGGTGCCTCAGTGGCTCAGTTGGCTGAGCGTCCGATTTCAGCTCAGGTCATGAGTTTCAGCCCTGAGGTGGGCTGTCAGCACAGAGTCTGGAGCCTGCTTTGGAGTCTGTGTCTTGCTCCCTCTCTCCTCCTCACCCACTTGTGCACGTGCGCGCGCTCTCTCTCGCTCTCTCTCTCTCAAAAATAAACATTAAACATAAATTTTTAAAAATGCTCAGTCCCATCTATGTTCTGCCTCCTGTGGAGAATCTTCTGGAAATTTCCATTGCTTCTTCCCCCTTTTCTCTGAAGGGCTCTGGCCTGGCTTTTGAATTATATCAAGAGGGAAAAAAAATGAACAAAAAGGCAGGAAGGTGGGTTTCAAAATCCAATGCCTGTATCTCATCCTGTGTTTTTAGGTTTTTCAAGATAAGGTCTTAGTTTGGTGGGGTCCTCACATTAGAAATACAGTTGGTTTGTGGAGTGAGAACATCTCAAGCAGTTTCTTTTCTGATTAATCTTCTATCATATATACTTACTAGAGACTGGGGTTTTTATTTTTAAGTTTTCATGCCAAATGATAGGAAGTTCAGACGGATAATATATATATTTGGTTAAAGGATAATTGTACTTGGTTATTGGCTTGAATCATAATGAAAGTTTGCTTCCTTTTCTACAGTTTGTGAAGGACCTTCCCATATTTTATCTTAAGCAGTGATCTTTCCAGTAACCCAGTGTGTTTTATCTTGGGGTTACCCTAATCTGACATGTAAATACAAGAAAACTCAGAGAATAAACATAGAGTAAAAAGCAGTTCACACAGATAAACCAAATGGAGTAATAGTATCACTCAGAAAAAAAAAGCGGAGAAAAGAAAGGGAGACAGAAATGAGATCAGCACGAAGCAAGCATTCCATGGAGGCCTGTACCTTTGCTCTGTTTAGGCACAAATTGGGCTCAAAACCCAGGGGCAGTTGGTTCACAGAGTTTTTCAGGTTACATTTTAGAGATCATGAGATAAAAGCAGAGTCACTGTTTAGGAAAACAAATACTCATAGAGGTTTTAACTCTGAAACCTACACCGTTTCAAGGATATAATTCTCCTTTATTTACCATCTTTCGGACCTGGCTAGGTTTTAGATTAAAAGTCTTTAAATTTTGCTCTGGTTACAGTCTGCTAGTAGGTCTGATTATGAAGACTTTTTGGCCAGCTTCTCAGCATCCGCAGGTGTTCTTAATCGCTTGAAATGTAGATTTCAGAAGGCTTTATTTTTTTCGTAGTTGGCAGATTTCAAGGGACATTACTTCTTGTAGTTGAAAGATGAGTGTTGGGGATGCCTGGGTGGCTCAGTCAATTGAGCATCTGACTTCAGTCAGGTCATGAGCTCACAGTTCATGAGTTTTAGCCCCACATCAGGCTTGCTGCTGTAAAATGGAAATAGGGATCGAAGCACAGAGCCTGCTTCAGATCCTCTACACCCCCCCTCCCCTCCCCCCCCGGGGCCTCTCCTTACTCATGTGCACTCTCTCTTTCTCTTTCTCTTTCTCTCTCTCTCTCTCTCAAACATAAAAATTAAAAAAAAAAAAAAGAAAAAGAAAGATGAGTGTTTGAGAGGCCTTAGAAGTATAGGGATATTTCTAGTATAACTTAGAGAGATTCTGTCTTCTCTATACAGTACTTTTGGCCACAGACAATACCCAATCACTTAAACACATCTCTAAAATTGGTTCTTTGGCTTGTACCTTCTGGTCACCAGTTTCCAGTTTCATGTAATTTTAGTTGATCTTCATTTTATATGCATTGCTGGATAAATAGTTCCTCAATAAATACTTGTTGTACTAGGTGGAAAAAAATACGGTAAGTTAAGTTAGAAGTATTTGCATTTAGAATCCATGCAGGTAGAAATGGCTCAAGCCAAAAGTGTAGATAAAGACAGGTCAGACCAGAAGATGCCAAGATTAAAGATCAAGGGCTTGTTGGGGTGCCTGGGTGGCTTAGTCGGTTAAGCGTCCAACTTTCGCTTAGGTCATGATCTCGCGGTTCGTGGGTTCGAGCCCCGTGTCTGGCTCTGTGCTGACTGCCAGCTCAGAGCCTGGAGCCTGTTTCAGAGTCTGTGACTCCCTCTTTCTCTGACCCTCCCCTGCTCATGCTGTCTCTCTCTGTCTCTCCTAGAAATAAATAAAACATTAAAAAAAAAGATCAAGGGCTTGCAACCCAAATGCAACCCAGTCCCTCCACCCTAAGAAGAAAGTTAGGCCAGGAGATGTCTGGGTGGGTGGGGAGGGGAGCTGTTCCCTTAGAGTTTGAGGCAGCCCTTGCCTCTGGCTCCATGCTCTTCCAGGTGAGGAGGGAGGGAATTGCACCATTACGGGTTTTATGTGTCTGGGGTGGGGGTGAAGTGAATGAATATAGACCCTTCCAGCCTGCCCCTCGATGTATTCAGTGGCTTGTATGAAATGGGAACCGTACCTTCAGAAGTTGTCTAAACATTTCATCACTAGTGGTGGAAAGATATTGTTGGAAGGCAGTTGGCAGTATCCGCTGCAGTGTGAAGTGTGCTGGTCAGCCAGCAGGTGTACTTCTGTGGGCCTAGCCCACAGAAATAGTTTGTACAAGTGCAGGTGTACATGTATGAAGAAGTTCTTGGCTTCATTGCTTTTAATAGGGAACGATTGCAAACAACCTAAATATCTTTCAGGGGAGTGGGAAATTTATGGCACTTCTGTACCATGACATTTTAGGCAGATGTTGAGAAGAATGAGGAAGAGGCCATGGAAAGTATGGAAGAAGACAGACCACAGTCTTAGTTATCTCGGTGCAGGAATGGGAAGCAGTCATGGGGCACAGACTTGACCTTGTACACTTCTAACCACGTAGAATACAATGTACGTGGTGCTCCCAGGATTGGCTTAACAGGGAGAGTTTAGGTATGCTTTTACGTTTACATATATGGATGTATATGTTATCTTTTTTTTTTTTTTGGCAAAGAGCACTTCTTAATTTTAAAAATGGTCTTGGGTGCCCTCTGTCAGTGTTACAGTCACAGGAACCAGACTCAGAGATAACTGTTGTTGTCGAGGGGTTCAAAGCCATCAGGACTTGAGCACTTGTCAATCATCAAGGAATTGAAAGTACTTGTTAATTATATCTGTCAGAACTGATTAAAGAGAAATTAGCTGTTACCATGCAAAGACTGACCCTAAAGTCTGGGATTTGGAGAGGCTTGTTCCTGTCTCTGGGCACTGTCTGCCGTCTGATCCAGTTTTCAACTCAGAATCCTATGGGCAGTGCGTGACTTTCCATTCAGCACAGAAAGTGAAGTGATCTTCTGTGATAAAATATTAACTAAATTTGCATGACTTTTTGACTGCTGTTAAATGCAGACCATTTATCAGATAAGCACCATTTCCCTGAGCTTTCTGTGGCTAAATATTTTATCTTCCTGCCACCATTGTGTAAAATCTTTGACTAGAAAATGAATACTGGATATTAGTTAAACCCATTCGTAGGCTGCAACAGAAGGCCAGCTTAGTGTTCATACCTCACAGTTGTTCAGCATCCTCTGCATAATCCGGGAGAATTTACTAACTGGTGAGGTTGATTTTGCCAGCGAAATAAAGGCAAAGGGAAATTTTTGAAATTTAAATTATGCAGATAGCTAAATTCTTAATCCTAAAATTCAAGTCCCTTAATTCTGCCTGTGGTATCGTACTGAGGCTCTTAATAGTCATGGTGCCGAGTGGACCTTTACTCAAATTATTTACAGACCTATTTTCCTGCGCTCAGGTGCACGCACTTTTACTGTGAGCAAAGTACCATAGGCAGTTTTTAATCACACTTAATATTTAATTTCCAGAATAGTCCCTTGATACTTCTGTCAACATCATAAGATTTTTTTTTTAACCTTATAGTTTATTTAATTATTTTGAGAGAGACAGAGGTAGCATGAATCGGGGAAGGGCAGAGAGAGGGGGAGAGAGAGAATCCCAAGCAGGCTCTGCACTGTCAGCACGGAGACTGGTGTGTGGGGCTCAAACCCATGAAACCGTGAGACCATGACCTGAGCTGAAACCAACAGTCGGACACTCAACCAACCGAGCCACCTGGCGCCCGCATCCAAAGATGTTAATAACTGCAAAACACACTAATTAATTCACAGAAATAACTCATCTCCTTTGTTTCTTCTTCTTTCTTTCTTTCTTTTTTTTTTTTTGCTGAATCTAATGTTTTTCATTCTTCTTTTTTTGCCAGAAGTTCTGCTAATGAAAATTGGGGAAGTGAAGATGCATATGTTATTTTGACTGTGCATCCTTTATCTGTAGTGATGGAGTATACTGATCTTTACTCTGTAAACAACAACTTTGAAACATTTGTGATTTTAAAAATGTAGATAGGAGAGATACCAGAATCTTAAAAAATTATAGTTAGGTAAGTGTGAAATTGAGGATTCGTTTACAGATGAGATAGTGTGAACTTGAAAGACATTGAGAAGAGTGTGTTGTTGAGTTTCTTGCAACCAGAGTCCACACTTTGGAAATTGTTATTTGATTTAACAGTTACTCAGGTGACTTCTAGATGCTGAGACACATGGGTTGATAGAAATAGTTTAGAGAACCACCACCGAGGTAGACATTTCCTGAATTGTGGACTCTGACAGTCACCGTCAGCAGGACCAGAAGGTGCGTGGGAAGGTGCATGGGCCCAGCGCAGTCCTAGGTTGATTCAGTAGGGCCCTTCCTGCTGCCCAGAAAAGCCTGGGTCACTGTCAGGTCAGGTGTGCATGTGTGTGGATGCATGAGACTGAATACGCCCACCATCACTTACACCCTGTGCTGCCTGAAATTGACAGTGTTCTTCCTGTTCTGTGGTTTCTTCGATTTTTATTTGAAATGCTCTAAATGTGAGTATCAAGTTGAGATTACTTGAGAGCTAGTGGAGACTTGCTGAAGAGAGAAGGAAGACAGGAGGAGACAGGCTGGCTGAGCCAGCACCTTGGAAAGCCTGGACCGAAGACATTTTAAGGGAATGGTAGAAAAATAGAAACCAGGAATGTCCTAGCTAACAGTTAAACATAGAAGTTCCACCTAAGGAAATGCCCTTGACTTACCCCTAACATTTTGGGTGCAGGATTGCTAGGGAATGGTCTAAGTGTCGTTTCTGTTTCTTCCCATCTGAAAAGAAGGCAGCCTGATTTCTCTTAGAAATGTAAAATTTCTCTGAAGCCTGATTTCCGTGCATCATTAGTAGTAAACTACATATCTGAAGTGGTTCCACTGTGTGAGCCACTGGGAGTCAGGGGATCAGAATTATCTGTGGCCATGTCCCTCAGGTATGATGAAATCTTAGATGAAATCTTCAAATATACAAGAGCCCTATGACAAATTGGAGAATTTTGGAAGAGGGGTCCAGGGCCATTTTGCTGTTTAAATTTCTGTGCTAGCCTAACTCTAGGCAGTATGTGTATATATGTATGTGTGTGTGTGTATGTATATGTGTATATGTACATTTAATGTTTGTTTATTTTGAGAGAGAGAACAGGTTAGGGGCAGAGAGAGGGGAAGAGAGAATCCCAAGCAGGCTCCATGCTGTCAGCACAGAGCCTGATGCAGGGCTCGATCTCATGAACCATGAGATCATGACGTTAAGTGAAACTAGGAGATGGATGCTTAACCACCTGAGGCACCCAGGCACCTGATTCTAGGCTATATTTAGTATGTGGGATCGGGGGCTCCATCTTGGAAAGGCTTTCCTAAAACTCAGGTGGAGGTACCTCATATTCTAGGTATCTCCGTCATCACCATCTCTATCTCCATCATCTCTATTCTCTTCTGTCATCTCCATCTCCATCATCTCTGTCTCTGTTATCTCCATGATTGCTGTCTCTGTCTTCTCCATCTCTGTTCTCTCCATCTCCACCTTCATCATCTTCTGTCATCCCTCTCCTCTTTTTCTCTGTCATTTCCATCTTCTCCATCACTCTTTGTCTCCATCTTCTTCATCTCCGTCATCATCATAAGCGATCATAATACCCATTGAATGAGCATGCTATTCCGACCTTCCCCACTGCAAACCATCCTCGCTAACCTTTACATAGCCTCGTATCTGGCCCCCAGTAAGTGCTCAGTACATTTTTATTGAATGAATGCGTTTTGCTTTTTTGGGAAATTGTTCTTGTCTCTTTTTCATGCTTGTGAATTTCTGACACTACCCGTAGTGACTGACTGGTAGTAGGCATCATAGTAATGCTGCTAATTCAGTAAACCCCTTTTCTGTGGCTGACGCCTTGACGGAGTCATAGGTCCATTAGATTAAAACTTTTGCTTTTTTGGGTTTTTTTTAGATTAAGACTTTGTAATTTTGTGATTTATTTTTGCAGGGGTCTTGCCCCTCAGAATAAGCCAGAACTGCAAAAAGTGATGGAAAGGAGAAAACGAGATCAAGTAATAAAGCAGAAAGAAGAAGAAGCACAAAAGAAGAAATCCGACTTGGAAATAGAACTATTAAAACGGCAGCAGAAGCTGGAGCAGGTGAGAGTGATTGAGATGAAAGTTGTCTTTGTCCTGCATTCGGGTCCATATGACGTTGAGTGTCATGCGTGCTTAAGGTGTACAGTGCGCTGACTTGGTGCGTTTACGTTGCGGTGTGTTTGCCGTCGAAGCGTCTGTCCCACCACGCAGGTGGCATTCCTTAGGGCTTGGAACTAAAGGTCTTTGTGTGTGTATGTTCATAGTGTAGTTTTGTTAATTGTGATTACATGCTGGGTATTCCTTCTCTACTGGTTCCAAGTTCATACCTTTAACCAACATCTCTTCTGTTTGCCCAGCCGCTGCTAGCCACCATTTTACTCTCTGCCTTTATAGTTTTGGTTTTTCTAGATTCCACAAATAAGGGAGATCATGCAGTATTTGACTTTCTCTGGTTGACTCATCTCAAAGTGATTTCTTCTGTCCTGAGAAATAAGGATGTTAGAACAAGCAGAATTTAAGAGACGTGTCAGATGTAAATGCTTATTCCACAGAAGGAAAATAGGAGACAGAATGTAGCAAATGGGCTAAGATACAGTCAAATGAGGTAAAGACGATTCAGGAGGCACAGCCCAAACCCGGGAATATCACTGAACTCACAGCAGAGCACTGGGGAGCTCAGGCAGTGGAGGGAGATTCAGCCTCACCGAGCACCCGCACATTGGTCTCGGGATCCTGTTTCCTTAGCCTTGATTTTGGGGTTTTTGTTTTTGGTATTGCTGGTAGTACCACCCAGGGGGCTGCTGCTCCTGCACAGGACAGCCCCAGGGCCTGCACGTGTCTGTATGCACATACGTGAAGGTGGAGACCGGGGGAGAATTGCTGCCCCTGGGAATTGAAGGCCTTAGGGACTTTGGCCATCAAAGGAGTGTTTCAAAAAGCCTCATATTTTGTAAATAATTTTCCTGTTTCTGAATTTCATTTAGCATGAACTTGAGAAGCAGAAATTGCAAGAAGAACAAGAAAACACCCCAGAGTTTGTGAAGGTTAAAGGCAATCTCAGGAGAACAGGCCAAGAAGTGGCCCAAGCGCAGGAGTCGTAGGCCCGGGCCACAGAGACCGCGCGCCCAGCCCGCCGCCGCCCGAGGAGGCCGTGTGTCCGCGCCTCCGCAGCACTTAGTCTCTGGGCAGAAGCCCCTGGAGACACCCCCAGCCAGCAGAGAATTGTTACTTTAAAAAGGATTTGGGTTTGGTTTTCCTACAATCTGGGTGGATAAATGACCTGTGACTGTTAATTTCTATTCGCCAAATGGAAGACGTTGACCAGCACTTAAGTTGAGATAAGTGAACCTGTGTTCAAAGACTTAAAAAGCAAAAAAACCACAACAGCAAAAAAGAAAGAGGACACTGGAATAAATTCTTAAGAATTGCACTACTTGGTTTTTCTTCCAGTCCATGTTTAGTGGGGCACAGCGCCTTTTTCCTTGTCAAATCTTTAAAAAAATGTGTTTTGTTTCTTCCTCGAGGTATCTGCTGGATAATTTAGATCACATAGAAAGGCATTGATCTGTTACATGTAATATTTGTAAATTCTCTGTTGAGAATCCAGAATTGTCTTGTGTGGTCCTGCCGTCACCCATGTTCGGTTGACGCCTGAGAATGTTGATGTTAATGTTGAGCACAGCTGTTACCTTTGTTGGCATCAAGATTCAGAAGTCGGGTGAGGAGGTTTAAAAACATGGGAACAAAAATACCTTAAAGTACAGAAGCTTTTTTAAATGTAAAACATACAGAAACAAAAACACCTAAAAGTCCATCTTGATATTATTTTGATTGCTCTTGGTTCTCTGGTACTAGAATGCTCCATAGTGACACTCCAGAGAAGGCACATCGTATAAATCCACTTCTTGCTTTGATAACTATTAGAATTTTGTTTTGTTTTGTTTTTGAATCCTCCTCTTATATAAAACATCTCCCAATCCTTTGGAGTGTAAGAACTAGTCCATAGAACCCAACTTCAGTGTCAAAAGTAGAGGGTCCAAAACTTTGAGAACAGTGTGGGGGAAGCCCCCATTGGGAGCCAGGCAAGGAGGACTTGTCCTACATCGGTCTCCTGGAGGCCTAGGTGGAAGGTTGATAGTGTTTGTACAGTTTGAGTATCCTTAGAATCCAAGTTTTGGAAATTTCGGATTAAGGATCATATAATGCTTTGCCTTTTTTTTTTCCTTGTGAAGAAAGACTGTTTCGCCACTCTGTCAGCGGTGGGGACTACTGTACGCATCTCAGGAGATGCTGAGGTGAAGTGAGGGGCCGCCCGGCTTCCGCACGCTAGCTGCTTTGCTATCCGAAGGGAGTCGTAGGCGGATGACAGCGAGATCCTTAAGCAAAATGCATTTAATTACCGCTGGTACATTTTACTTGGGGTGATCTAGAAGAATTCATGTGGATTCAGTATGTTCTCCATCCAGACGATTCAGCCAGTAGTTTCTCCCTTGAAGACTCTTCTTATACCTTTAAAGGCTCATAGAAACCTGGATCCATAGCTTTTAATCCTAATAAGCATAGTAGAAATCAGCTTTCTGTGGGAATGCTCTCGTTTCCATAGTTGACAGGCTTCGTATTTGGTCCTCATGTGAACGAGATAAAGGTAAACGCAAGGTCAGTGCATACCACCAGCTAGAGAACATGCCGGTCACACCCGAAGTGGATGATTTCTCACCATTGAGTATTATTTGAATAAAACCTGAAACGCGGAAGATAAAATGTTGCTCTGTAATAGTTGGCTTTTGAAGGATGGCATGGTAACTCTTTTTTTTCTGTTTCCATCCTTCTTCCTTTTGAGAGAAGAAAGTATGTTCCCTGATCATCTTGAAAGCACGTTTCTGATCGCGTACTGACTGGAGTGCTTTCTTTGTGTTTATGGACTAATGAAGAGATCTGAATGTGAAGATTCAGGACTAGCTCGTAGCCTTTTACCTAATTGGATGTTGGATCTTAAGTCCTGCGTCTTTGAAGCAGTTCTGCCACTCGATAGAATTCTCAAGGGTCCCCGACAGGCTCCTTTAGAAGGACCGATTCTGTCCCTAGAACTTACCGGAACCCACTCTTCACTGGGAAGAAAAATGACAAAAGCACCTCCCTCCCAGTCTCACTCAGTGGTCTGCACACTTACGTGTAACAAGTATCACAAGGTGTGGCCAGAAGGCTTGTAAATAGCATGACGTGATGTCTCAGGACCACACAGTGGGATGTCCAGGTCGAGAAGCTCTCTGAAGCCATCACATCAGCTCGGCTCACTAGCCAGAGGGTAAAAGGGCGCCAGTCTCCCCTCTACGTGTTAATACCATGCAGTCCAAACCCCTAGGACTCCTGAACATCCCGGCAATTTTATGCTTTGAGCCGCTTTTTGACACAAATGGCTCCATTTTTCCACTCGGTGGTTTTCTTAAAATAGTTCGGTGTTTTATAGTCTCTGGTAATAAAGTAGTGTTGCTTTCTAAGCTGCAACAGTTGACTTTATTCTTCTACTCTGAAAAATCTTGACTTGTTTGAGTGTATATAATATATATAAAGGGAGCCTTAATGGATTTGTTTTCATAATTTAATATTTTTTGTATTTGCTCTTGTACAATTGTTTTTAATGGAAAGTATTACAGAACTGAGGGTGGAATTCTTAGAACCAAAGTTATTCTTAATAAAAATCACCACGCGCTTGGACCACGCAGCTGTGTTTGTCTAATCTGTTGGAAGTGGATGTCCGGAACCGGGGGGGGGGGGGGGGGGGGGGGGGGGGGGGGGGGGGGGGGGGGGGGGGGGGGGGGGGGGGGGGGAGGGTGGTGCTGTGTTCAGTTCAAGGAGTGGAAGGTGGTTATAGGGATTCCTCTGGTGACTGTCCCCTTTGACACCCTCCCTCCCCCATCAGTTATGTCCTCTGTCTGCTCCATCAGGCTGACCGTTCATCATGTCAAAGGAATTCATGCTTAGGGGTCATGCTACTTTTTGTATAAAAGAGGTGGTATTTTAGCAGCAGCTGTCCTTCAGATCAAAATATTCTGAATTTTAGGTAGCTTGATAGAACAGTGGGAGGTATATTTTTGTAAGGGCCGTTTAATGCTGTGAGCTAGTCCGTATAACATATCTCAAGTGTGACTGTGAAATTATTCTGCTTATTCAGCTAAGTTAACGTTAACCTCCAGAACTGACTTGGGAGACCCATATGCAGGGCTGCACTGCTCTGCTAGTTAAAATGGTTTAAAGGTTCCAGTCTCTCTGTGCCTTTATTTTCCAGCCCCTAATTATTACTCAGTTCGATTACTCACCTGTATTGGACTCTATTTTGAAAACGAAATCTACTCAGGGCAGTGAAGATTTCCTACATCCAGGTTACGGTAAACCATGAGTTCTAAAGGCCAGTGCAGAAGATGGGTCCCAAAAACATGATTTGGGCTGTAGCTGTGTTCTTGGAATAACCAGGCAGATTCCCAAGGGGGCAGTTTTGAGGCCGTTAACTCCATTTCATTGAACCACTCTGCGCTTGTTTGTTTCTTAGACTAAATAGTAATAGATGTGAAAAAGGCAGAGGGCAGTTAAAGTGTTTGGTAACATTTAAACTGTTAAGTGCTGCTAAAAAGTATTAGAATACAACCACCACGCTTAAATTTACAAGTATAAGGAGAAATGAAGTGTTTTCTCTCAAGGTCTTGGGGGTAAATAACACCTTCATGAGGTAACCTCACAATTACAATATCTTTTCCTTTTCTCCTCTTTATTATTTTTTAATTAAAAAATATTTTTACATTTATATTAGAGAGAGAGAGAGACAGAGCGTGAAGGGGAAGGGCAGAGAGAGAAGGAGACACAGAATCCGAAGCAGGCTCTAGGCTCTGAGCTGTCAGCACAGAGCCTGACATGGGGCTCGAACCCACGAACTGTGAGATTGTGACCTGAGCCGAAGTCGGACACTTAACCGACTGAGCCATCCAGGCGCCCCTTCTTTTTTCCTCTTGAGAAGTTGCAGTCTGAGTATCAGTTGGGACCTTCTGAATGTCTTCCCACTTGTTCCTAGGTCTCTAGCAAGATGGTCATTGCCAGCCGGAGTCTGGTAAAAAGGACGCCCCGTTATTTACTGAGAGGATGCTGATTGCTGCATCCTGGGAGCATCCAAGCCCTCAGGGTTAGTGACGTATTTGTGTGAATATGTATTTACACATTTGTACTGATTTTATTTTTATATCTCTGGTTATCAGAAATTAGGAGTTTACATTGATACTCTCAAATGTAACCTGGTAGTGCATGCTGGCTTTTCCGTGTCCATATTTGTAGCTCCTTTCTCTAGCACTGAAAGCCTCCTCCACGTACCTGCTCACTTTTACAACCCCCCGTATGTGACCTGCCTCTTGCCTTTGCTCGGCCACCATCACCACTCTGGCCCTGCTTAGTGGCTTTGTGACTCAATTTTTTTTTTTTTTAACTTTTCATTTATTTATTTTGCGAGAATTATTTTGGGAGGGGCGGGGGAGGAGAGAGAGAGAGAGGGAGAGAACCCAAGCAGGCACCATGCTGTCAGTGCAGAGCCTTACTTAAGACTTGATCCCATGAACTGTGAGATCATGACCTGAGCCAAAATCAAGAGTCAGACATTTAACCAACTGAGCCACCCCGGCGCCCCATTGGACATTTAAGCATTTATTGTAAATTTAAACTAATTAAATTGTCTAAAACCTCTTATACTGTGATTACAGATTTAGTATGCTGAATTACTTTGAACACTTCAAGCTCTTCAAACAGGACGTGAACCATGCTTGATGCATCAAAGGTTTTCGGGGAAACAGAGCCAAGAGGAAATGCCAAAGATTAATGAAGGATATGATTGATTGATTGATTGATTGATTGATTGATAGGCAGAGGAGCAGACAGACTTATGAGGAATTAGCCCACCCAACTAGGGAAACTGAGAAGTTCCACTGTCTGCTGTCTACAACCTGGAGACCCCCTAGGAGACCCAGCGGTGTGATGAAGTCGGATTCTGAAGGCCTGAGCAGCAAGGGAGCCGATGGCTGGTGTGGCTCCCAGTCTGAGAGCAGGAAAAGACTGATGTCCCAGCTCAGAAGTGAGGCAGAGGGAGAGAGAGAGAAAGGGAGTGAAACCACTCTTCTTTCCCTTTTGTTCTGTTCGGGCAGGGCCTCAGCGGATGAGGTGAGGCCCCCCACGCTGGGAAGGGCAGCCCCTGATCCAAATGCTAGTCCCTTCTGGAAACACTCCCACGGACACATCCAGAAATAATGTTTCATCTGGGTGCCCTGTGGCCAATCAAGCTGACGTACAAAATTGCCCATCACACTTGAGTACAGTGATTAACACATTATTAAAGATAACTTACATATTTTACACATCAGCTTTCGGGCTTTATGTCGAAAATTTTTTACTTTAAAAGTGCTTTCCTACTACTATGGCTGTCTTTATTTTCATATCCTAGGGGTTACTGCTGGACTTGTAGTAGTCGTGCACCCAGCCTAGAAGAAAAGGAATTCCTCAGACTAACTGAGAGCACCATCTAAGGACGTGGAGCCTCACTGCATAGGCCAAGCCAATTAAACCATGAACCACAGGCATTTTGTTCAGTCTTTTTATAATTCTTACTTCCTTTGTCAGGGGATTCTTAAATATCTGACCATATATGTTTTTGAAACTTGATGTCTTTCCCGGAAATGAAGTTGATTGATTGCACGAGTAGGAGAGAGGGAGAGAGAGAACTGTAAGCAGGCTCCACGCCCAGCATTGAGCTCAATGTGGAGTTCCATCCCACGACCGTGAGATAATGACCTGAGCCAAAATCGAGTCGGATGCTTAACTGGCTGAGCCACCAGGTGGCCCGCCAGAAATGAAGTATTCTTTAATTTTGCATGGCCAGCATTACCTAATTCATCTTGCTTGTATGATACATTAGTCTCGTCCATTAACATTATTGAAAATTAGATATGCCTTATCAATATCATGTAGGATCAGTGGGATTATATTGGGGTTAATTCGTAGGATCTTGTTGACATTTTGTCTATAAGGAATCATTAAGTCTGTGTGGCGAATTCTTTGAGACATCCGACTATTATCTTGGGCATACCCTTGTGTCCATTTAAATTTGTGACTGTGTCTGGTCAGTCAATGACTGTTTCTACATGGTTAGTATGTGACATATGATCGCTGCTGCTGATCAGTCTTACTTCTTGTACTACTTTTTCTGGTTTCCTAATCTTTCAGATTTCCCATATTCTTTGCTGTATGCATATCTTGAGATATACAAATGCCCATGCTTTATGAAAATATGTATTCTTAGAACAAAATCCTCTCATGTAGAAATACTTGTTTAAACACATCCATCCTTATTTTGTATTAAGATTTATTTTTCTCTTTCAGGCATCATGAATCTGTGGTCTTGTGTAGATTCAACTTCTTAACAGTTTACGTCTCCTTTTCATGGATGCGCAGAATTTTATAACTTGACTAGTAGAAGCTCTTCAAGGTAATAACCTTTATAAAATACTGCTTCTGACAGTTGGGAAAGCATCCTTACTCTGTTACAACAGTAGGATGTTTCAGACCATCCTATTTCCCCCACTTGACATAAGCCGTGTGCATGCCTTTCAAGGGGTCCTGGTTCCTCTTGATGGAGAATGAAAGTGGGGGTCACTGGCATGAGGTGTGCACGGGAGCGATGCTAGTGGACAAAAGTGCTTCTGTACATTTAGTGATAGAGCTAGAGGAAATCACCCTGGGGTTTCCATTTAACCCTTTACGTGGTTATTTCTCTTGGAGTATGAGTCTCATTGGATTGGAAGCCTTTCCATTACACTTAGAAAGATTTACTGAGATATTTTCCCTTAAGAATTATGAAAGGGGACTTGCCTGCCTACATGTCAAAACACACTTTTAAGCAACAGTAATTTAACTGGGCTGATACTGGCCCAGAGTAGCCCAATAGATCAATGGAACAGAACAGAAACCCAGAAGGAGACTTGTTTACATATTGAAATTTACTTTATGACTGAGGCAGAATTTTAGTTCAAAACAGTTAGGAAGAGATAAACAATTCAGTGAAAAGTTCTGGGGCCACTGGAACCAAACAAATACATATTCCTCTATCTATGACCATATGAAAGGCCGCCAATTTTATTAAAGTGTTCACATAAAATAAAACTATGGAAGTATTAGAAGAAAATATAAAGGAATATTTTTATAATCCCAGGAACGGTGGGGGTGGGGTGGGGTTCCCTAAACAAGACCTCTAACTGAAAATCTATAATGAAGAGGGGTGCCTGGGTGGCTTAGTCGGTTAAGCATCCAACTTTTGCTTGGGTCATGATCTCGCGGTTCGTGGGTTCGAGCCCCGCGTGCTGACTGCCAGCTCAGAGCCTGGAGCCTGTTTCAGAGTCTGTCACTCCCTCTCTCTCTGACCCTCCTCTGCTCACGCTGTCTCTCTCTCTCTCTCCTAGAAATAAATAAAACATTAAAAAATTTTTTTTAAAAATCTATAATGAAGAAACCTGGCAGATATAGCTAGAGAAAAATAAATATTTTTATAAAAAAATTTTTTTAAGTCAAAAGGCAAGTAACTAAGTTATACTACATGTACAACAGCCAATGAATAATACCTTCATTAATATATGTTACATACATGTCTACATTACAGAATGTCTACAAGTGTCAATCCAATTTAAAAAAAGGAACA